ACAAGGAGAATGAAAAGGATATTGAGGGAACAGGGCACAGAGACATGTCTTAGTGAGAGGACATAGAGGTCCTTCAGACAGCACATAAGCAATACTGTGCACCCTTCAGATGACTAATAAAAAAATAGTTTCCTAGTACTCCAATCTTTTTAAAGGAAAAAAACCTCTTGTTTGGGGTTTTCCTACAGAGGAGATATGAGGACATTTTAAAATATTAAAGAAAGGGATCTAAAGCATAAGCCATCCCTTGCACAGGACTCCTGGATTTTCTAGCTCACTTAGGGGTTATTTTGGTGGTTCTAAGCCATGCAAATAAGTAAGATGATCAGAAGGACTAAGTGGCTTGTTAACCATGTTTGTGCAGGCTGAACTCAGCCCCTGAAGAAGCCAACAGCTCTTCTGGAGAGAGCCCCTTCACATAGCAACCTCCTCTTGTGCTGGACCGTATTCACTGCTCTGTTCAGGGGTGAAAAGTCCTGGGTAGCTTGTGTTGGCCTAGCAGAATGAGCTCACACGAAAAGAGCAATATAGCTGCCCCCTTTCTTCCTTTCTGGAAAAGCAAGTGAATTTATGGCTGTTCTTGTCTGTGTGTAGTAAAGCTGGCACCACAAGCCCTACTTTGTCAGCAGTAGGACAGTTGAGGGGAAGAAAAGCTTGGTGTAACCTGTGGTATGTTATTTATTATCACTTTGCAGCCCCCTGGAAAATGAACTTTAGAAAATTCTGAGCCGATGGTAACAGTGAACACTGGGAAAACCCGGGAATCAGCAAATCCATTGTGTTGTGCTGACAGAAAGATACTGTTACAACACACTTTAGCTGCCAACTTGCTGCAGTCACTCAATCCATCATGGTGGGCTGTTGGATCACAAGCCAGTGAAACTCAGCCTGGCGTGTTATTTTAGTCTTACATGGACTGTGAGATAAACGGGGCATGAACCGGCCCCCTGGCAGGGGGTCGACCCCTAGCGCCCTCATTAAAGTGCCAATCAAAAAGAGTAATGGAACAGGGAATGGAAAGCTGGCTTCTTCAGCCTGTTACTGCTTGCAGGCTGAGCAACCTTCACAAGCCAAGGGAAACATTTCTCTTCTGAATAGGAGCCAGGCCTCCAGAAATGCCTCCTCTCTGCTTGTCTCTAGAGCGGTGCTGCGGCTCTTCCGGGTCTCTTGCTCGCGCTGGAAACCTGTTGCTTGCTATTACGTGCTATTCAGTGCAGGTAGTGGGAAGAAGTGTTGCTAAATGCAACCCAGAAAGGGTGCAGATGCCTGTTCTGTGGAATTGCCTTGGTCATCAGTTGGTCAGTGGTGTGGTTTCTGTAGCAAATTGCTCACATTCTGCATTTGTCCATGAAATATGCAGAGCCCCCTGCTTTTTCCCCATAGCAGTCCAGGTACCAACGTGAGTCTAGAAGGCTTGCTCGTGTGTGCAGGGTGTGAAAGTGAATTCTTGTGCTCTGTGGGGGTTATTTCAGGCTTCCACAGGAACCCACAGCAGATAGATTCCTGTGGGTGAATATACAGCTAATGCTTCAGCACATATGCAGGGCAAACTGCCTGTCACTGACGGTTAATCTTTCAGTGTAACCTCTGCTTTGACAACGGATGCTCAAATTCTGAGTGCATCCAACACTGCTGATGTTGGGGGAATTTCTGTATGTCCTGTGCTGCATGCTGGGTTCCTGGTATAAACACCTGTTCTGCACCTCGACTTCCCTCTGGTCTGTGCTTGAAGGAGAGGGCAAAAAGGTTAACTACTGAAAAGAAAGAAAGGTGGGTGAAGGTCTATGTCTTACGTGGATTTAGCGTTTGAGATCAGGAAGCTCAGAGCTGGGGAGTTAGCTCTTAAAGCTGCTTATAGATGTCAGCTCTTGGTGTGATCTCAGCGCAATTATGAACTTGGCAGCATTTGCTCACGTTTTATCAGCAGACAGTTTCTCTGGATGGATATTGGTTTGGTTTAAAATACTTTATTTTTCTTTTTAATGGGTAGGATCAGCAGTTGGAATTAGTGTCCATGAAGAAAAATGTACAAATAGTAACTCGTGTCATGCTAGAAGACCTAAGAGCAAGCACTGTGAGTAATAGATCCTCCTGGCACAGCACTACCAAGGTGGTCCCATTTCAGGTTGACTCAGTGTTGCACACTGAGGCTGGAACAGGGTAGGGAAGCCCTTAAGAAGCATTATTGGAAACTAATACAGGTAGCAAGTAATCAGCATGAGTAGAGATCAGCTTTATACTGAGCTAGGTCAGAAGGAATATTTTTATCCTTTTAGATCCAGTATTGTGTTCTTGTATTCTACATGTACCTGTCTGAACTCGGGGTGTAAAGATGCTGTCTCTGCGTAATCCTCTGAAGACTCATAGTGCAACTGCTGTTATACCACAAATAAAGACGTATTCTGGCACAGAAGTAGTGCTAAATATAATCTTCACATTTCTGGGATGTTTACCTCAAAGACTGTTTCCGCCATACTTTGAGATTAAAAGAAATCCTGAAAAAATGTATTGGCACACACAGGGTTATTCAGAGAGCCCAGAACTGAACATTTGCAGAGGGGAAAACATTGCTGGTGGCATTCTCTCTGGTATTTGCGTGGCTGTCTCGGGGGCTTGACCTTACCAAAAAAAGGCTGGGTGGGGAGTCTGGCCCTGCAAATGGTGGTTTGCTTTTCCTTTATTTTCTTTTTTTTTTTCCCCTTCCCCTCCCACCAAAACTATATGCAGTCACAAATTTTTTGCTACATCATTATTTTGATAGCCGGTGGTTTGTACTGCTAATTGTCCATTGTTGGCCAAGGGCCTTGAAGCAACAGTTGTTAGGAAAGGTGAGTCACCCTCCAGGTCAAGGCAAATGTTTGCTGTCGCTGTGTCTGGAGTGTTGAGGGATAGCTGGTATGATAGATTTCTCCTGTTAGTGTTTCTCTGCAGCTGCAGCATCCAGGGGACTTTTTTTTGCTGTCAGTGTGCAGAAACAATTGTTCTGTAGCTCCTGTACACAATCCTTGTCCTTTGGGTGACCCATTCATTTATCCATTTGTAAATGCACATGAAAGCTGTTTACTTCTCTCATGGCCTTTTAGTAGTTTTGAGTCAGACCCGAGCAGGCCTGAGGTGCAAGGTTATTCTTATCCATGGAGAGAACTCTTTGTGCTGGGCACATTGCTTGGGCAATAGTGTGTCAGCTAGAGAGGAAACCAAAAACCAAAACAACCCCAAATCCCCCGCAAAACCAAAAGCCCCTTGTGATACTGGAGTCCGGCTGCGTTGAGGCAACGTAACTGTACAACAGGCCATTAATAGAATTGATATAATGCGGTAGGCATGCGTCTCTTATGTAACTGCAGTTTGCTCCAAGATTATTTTTATTTCTCTACTAGAATGTGCTGTAGCTCTACTGAGGAAAATAGCGCAAAAAAATTATTTTTTTCCCCAGTGTTTGTCAGTGGTTAATGAGTAACCTTTTTTTTTTACTGTTTTTGGCAAGCCTCCTTTCATGTGATTAACGCTGCACTCTTACCGATGAGACACGTGCAGAGCTGGTCACAGTGTGAGGAACCAGCCCTACGTACACATCTGGTGCCGTTTGCTCCTCACAGTCTCCCACTTCAGGAAATCTGCTGATAGAGAGCTATGTTCAGTCACACCGATCTGTCCCCTCTGATCAGGAAACATTTTCTCAGCTAGGTAACTGTATGGTAGTGCTGAGGCAGATGGCTTTGCGCTGGCCCAATTATTTTTAAGGCTGTTGGAGCTTTGGGCCAACTACCAGTAGGCTGTAATACACAGCCTGTAATAAAGTTGAAGCAGTAATACAAGTGGGGAATCGGAAGGGTTTTGGTCCTAGTCCTGCATTTGATAAAACTAAGCATCATACCATGTACTGATTCAGAGCCTGAATTTTGCAGAAGTCTGGACTGGAATGCAAAGCGCTGGGCAGAGCTGTTGTTTTCCCAGAAAAATAAGACTGTGAGTTCCTTCGCTGTAACAACTGTGCTTTTAAGAATAGAGGAGTTTGGAGTATGGCTATCAATTTTCAGTATAAGTTTCAAAGAAAAGTATGAGTATGGATGTATATATTTGGGGGGAGTGTGTATTAAAAAATATATAAGCATACACACTGCGTGCTATTATTCTTCGTAAGGAGCCAATTGTATAAGTGGATTTTGAGGAACTGTTGACTTAATCGTATTTTGGTGTCGTTTGTGGTGTTTTTGTTGTGGTGGTTTGTTGGGTTTTTTTTTAATATATTTGAAGAGTACACTCCTCGAAACATGGATTTTTAGACCTGGATACCAGAGGTGGAATCACTGTGATTAGTAAATAGAGGCATGTTCTTCTAAGAAGATTTCCTAGAGGAGTCACCATGGAGTGGTTCATGCACTGTAGGAAACAGCTCAGTGCTGTGCTGCAGAGAAAACAGAAGTTACAAATATATATATAGGTGGCCTAGGATCCTAGGAAGTAAGTACGTACGCTATTGATCAGAAAATAGATGAATGCTGAAAACCATCATGCACTGTAGAAAATGGGAGAGCAAATAGATCAAAACCTCCTTGTCATAAGGAAATGTTATGATTATTTTTCTCTTCTGAGATGTAGACCATTTAGCCACTTACATTCTCTCCACAAAAATGTAAGCACTGCACTTTTTTGGTAAACAGCCTTCACAACTTAAGCTGTTCAGATAGTAAGTATCATCTAGCTGATTTATTGGAAATTATTCCGGAGCAGAAGGAAGGGAAGGATGTTATTCACATCTTGCACACAGTTCACCTCATTTCGGGCATACCTCATATTGTATTTCCTGTTTCATTGCCTAGACTTTATTGAGAAATGGCCAAGTTTAAGTAGGTAACAGCATTGTTTATGATCCAGTAATGACTATAACAAAAGGTCTGTTTCAGCTTGATCATGCCATAGTAAGATGCATAAGGACATGTAGATCCTCACCCCTGGTTGGAGTCCAGTGTCAAAGAGTTACCAAACTTTTTTTTTTTTTCCAGTTTATTCTGGACAAAAAGTGATTAATTTCTCTTTTTCCAGAGGCAGCAAGTGGGAGGAGTAGATAAGGTGTCTGCCCACCTGTACTGTGCTAGATCCTGCTACCTGCTGAGGTCTGGCTCCAGGAATTACATTTGGTCACAAAGTTCTGTATTGGTGATGGGGTGTTTTCTGCCTCTTTAGCAGCACATGGTCCCTGGATCTTAATACTTCTGTATTACCAGCTTGTTTACCAGGAATACTGTTTCCTCAGCAAAAAAAGTCTTTCAGTGGCCTTGTCACATTCCTGTTAGCGATGAGCATATCATAGAGCTTAAAACAATATGCTCCAAAAATAGTAATTCTCCATGTTTTGATTGCTTTGTCAGATACAGAGCAGCAAAACGGAGGTTTGCAGCCACAGCTGTGGATTTAGGTCAGAACAGAAAGGACTTTTGTAGTTCTGCTTGTCCAGAATTGCTTCTAGAATAAAATGACATCGCCATCTGTGCTCTTGTGTCTCTTTTGCACATTGAAAACCTGCTTACCTCATTCAGTCACAAGTCTGTCTCATTTTAGTGACAGCAGAACGCATGGGTCTGGGTAAGTGTTAGAAATATTAGGATGCATTTTTCGCACATAAAATTATATTAATACCTGAAGTGCCATTTTTCTCTAAGTGTTTTGTTTGACTTAACGCTGGCATTGCCTAGCTTGGGTAGGTGACACATAGTGTGAGGTGTTGCTATAGCACAAAAGCATTGATCAGCCCTGCTGGTCATCCAGATGTGTGGGAAAGATCACTGGATTTTATTTTACAGGATGTGCTTTTTCTTCTCTTTTTCTAAGTTTAAGTAACTTATCACCTAGATTTCCTGCTCTTAAATGACTTCTGGAAAATCAGACCATCTCAAACAGATGATCTGCGTGTCCAGTCAGAGACATGCAGTGTAAGTCTGGGTCTGACCTACACTGACAACCAACATTCGAGGGGGTTGTCCAGGTTTTACCTCACAGCAGAAATACATGATGTGAGAACAGTCTTGAATTGTTCTGCCCTTCAGGAGGCATGTGCCTAACTTGGAGAATTATTCATTCCTGTCCTCTATAGTAATTTTCTGTTCCTGCACATAATTAATGGTTTTGCAAGCAAGGGCACATGTAGAGTGTGGGTGGAATCAATTTATTGCACTTCTCCAGAATTACGGTGAAATAACTCTTATGTCAATAATCTTTATTTTACATTTCTTCAGTAGTAACTCCAGCAAGAAAACAAAGTTGGTCAGGGTAGGCAGAGAACAAGTTGTACAGTTCTCAGCAAAATATAGGTAAAATCAACACTAATGGGCTGAAACTCAGTACTGCTACCTCAGCCTACCATAGCATGGGTTATAGGGTTTTCGAAATACTACCTGCATTGTTGATTTAATCTTTATCGAGTCTGAAGGTTAACAGCTTTTCATAAAGACTTGAGCAAAGAGGCATGAAAAAGCATTGTCTTCCCTGCATTGTACTGGCTGTGTGCTGAAGACAATGGGCAGGGGGAGAAAGCTGTGTTACTGTCTCTGATCCGTGAATTTTTTCCTCCCCAGCTTCTGAAATGTGAAGACTGAATCTGCTTTCATTGCTGCAGCAATCACACCTCTCCCAATGAAACCAGGCTGAACAGGGTAAGCATGCTGTCCTCATCAGGCTCAATCTGAATAACTTTGCAGAATTTGGTATATGGAACTATTATATCGGCCTGACTGCTTACAGCTTGTGTGTGAGTTCTTAAGAATTGGAGTGAAAGCTGGAGACTTGCACTTACTCTCCACAGTCTCTGTAAACTATTTTTGAGTATGGCTCCTGGAATCTGCAAGTTATATTTATTCACTGAGTAATGATGTTAGTAGTGCCAATAGCAATAGGAAGTCCACAGTAAGAGTTCTGAAATTATACAAAAATAGTTGGGTTACAGCAATAAATAACATCATTTGTGCTTTTAAAAAAACAAAAGTTCTGATTCAATTTGGTTTGGAATGCTAAATGAGGCAATATGCTGCTTTCAGCTGTGCCTGTGCATCCCTCCCTGTCACCAGCACCGTGGATGTGCCCCTCGGAGAAAACCTGCCCTCGCCTCCAGCCACCGTGTTCCTTAACTAATCGTAACAAAACTCAAGTATTCAAGCCATTCTGCTGGAAATTCTCAACACAGAGCAATGAACTAGTTTTTATGCTCCTTCCCCAGCTGCTTACCGTCTAGGTATTTGCTGCATTGGAAAGAATTTTACAGAGGAGAGAAGCAGGGAACCTTGGTAGCAGAGTCCAACAGGACTGACACATTAAAGCACTGTTGAGCCAATGCACTTGTTGAATTCTACACTTTACTTCAAAATTATACAGAGCAATATACAAAAGTAATGCATTAAATCAGTTTCATTTGTGTAATGGACCTTTATGGATTTTGATTTCCAGTCACAGACCATACACACATCGACTGATACCACATTTTTGCCTTAGACAATAATCCTCTGCCTTTCACTTTATAAGAGTTGAGAACTGGTTTAATTCTAACCTTCAGTTTAAAAATAGTCCTGTATGCTTTTATGAAAGGATATTAAAAGGTAAACTAAGTTGAAAGTAAAGCTATAGTGGGGCTCTTTGCTTTGAGTCAAAGGTTTACAAAATAAGGCGTTCAGAATGTAGGTTACTCAGCAGTTTCAGGGGAGTTGTGTTTTCACACTTAACCCTTGCCCAGCAAAATGCCGTAGCACAAGCAGCCATTCCTCACAGCGCCTGAACTGTCTCCGGGATGCCAGCGTGAAAATGCAATTTCCTCATTTCTGTGAATAAAGGGATAGAAGTACACTCATTCCTCAATCTTCAGCTTGGTCCAAGTTGATGAGACAAATATTGATTTGATGTACAACATTTGAAAAACACGTTATTTTTTTATTTCGGAAATTTTAATTTTGAAGAGGTGGCTCTGAAGACAATGATGCAGTGATTTCCTTCCCCCCCAGCATTCCCAGTGCTAGCAGAATTCCACACCAATCAGCCAACTATATACGCTTACTCAGTCTGAGTGAGGGGAAAAACTAAACAATTTCAATTTCCAAGGCTGCTCACTTGGACTATTTTAAAAACAACTCGGAGGCAGGGGCCTTCAGAAGTGTGGACTTGTTGAGGTTTGAGTGCTGTATTCGGAAGAGAATCAGCTTCTTGTTTTCTAATATTTTGAAAACGTAATTGAATTAGTGAGTCCTCAGTGCAATATTTTACAAAATGCAATTATTTTTCTTAAAAACGAGAATGACATCTCAGTGGAACACTAGGTAAACGTGCATTTAGCTGTACTAGTGATTTAAGAAAAAAACCCAAAACCCCAACAAACAACCCCAAACAATGCACCCTAATCACATTGGTAAAGCTCCAAACTACTGGATGTCTGTGCTCCAACAGCTGCAATTAACTCTTAATTTTCTTTTATTTTTTAAACTTTTATCTACATTCCTGCACTGTGAAAATCATCTTTCTCAAGAAAAAAAGAGAGAGAAGGGCTAGTTTCAGGTAGTGCAGTAAGACTCAGTATAGCTCCTTTAATTTCTTTACACAGTAAACAGACTTCTATTTATACCAACACCCTGATCTGTACTTTCTTATTTACATGAAACACTTTTACATATATACATGTTAGCAAAATACAGGGCTTCTCCCAGAACAAAATGCATTTCAGCTCTATCTTTGTTACACAACTAATACTTTTTTTTCTTAAAAAGAAAGCCCACCTCACTTGTTTCTTATGCACAATGATTCCATTTAGCTAAATACTCAAACTGTATTTCTTTCCTTCTCATGTAGTACTCTCTTTAGTTACAGAATACCATCAGTTCCCAGTAGATACTTGCAATTCACTGTGGCAGTAAGGAAGAGGGTTCAAGAGTCCAGCTCTAATTGTTCTTGATTTTCACTGAGTCTTAACATAAGCTGTTGTTCATAATAAAGGCTCTTTGCATAGTTTATTTCTTGAGATAGCTTTACTGCAAGAACTTCAGATTTCACTTTCACCTGCAAAGAGAAACGTGATTTTTCTTAATGTGGTACTGCCATCATTTAAAGCTGAATACATTTATTTTTTTATTACTTCATTAACTGAGGGGATTAGGTTTGAGGTCTCCTGTAAAGAACAGAAATCTTTCAGTGGAGATTCCTTCTCAGTGCTGAAACTGAAGTAAGAGAGAGAGGGAGAGACAGGTAAAGAGTGACAGGTATCTTGGGATGAGAGCAGAAACATCTCGCAGTATGTGAAGTTATGTCCTTTGCTTCCCCTCCTTCCTTTTATCTGGCTTGTCTGTTTGGAATGTAAACTGGCTTGGGTCAGAGGTGAGCTTGTACCTTGCCTGTCAAACAGACCCCTGAGCAACTACTGTAATGGAGAAAAAAAGCCCTGTAATGGGTTTTAGAAGTAAGAGTTCTGATTAACATAAACACTCTTTCCAATCTTAGATACTTTGCAGGAAAAAAATACTACATAGAGGAGGACAAGAGTAAATAGACAGCAAAGTACTTATGTTTTATGTATGCATTGTAAAGTTAAAAGCATTTCTCAGGTAAATATACATTTCCTACTGTAACTCTTCTGCCTGCAGGAATATTTTAGGTTTTGCCTTCAGCTTTTCTCAGTGTAGGCAGCAAGTTCTATTGTTGCCTAAACTTTTTCAGAGGCAGCTATTTTACTGCTGACACAACTAAATTTTCATTGTTATGCAGCACAGGAAACCAAACACTAATAACTACAAACACTTTTAGGCCTGCAGAAACCCCCGCGTGGATGAAACAATAGGTGCTAGATCCTTACCATTGGCTTTTGTTGTGAGGGGCCTGGCATTGCTACGCCACTACTTGTATTAACAGCTTTCTTTGTCAGCTGTATATACACGTTCCCGTGGTCTTTGGAAACAAGGCAATGGTAGAGATCATCATACTTGACTTCCAGGAAGATGGCCTCCCGGTCGGTGTAGTCGCCACTCTTCAGGAAATAAACAGCTTTGGATGAAATGAGAACACAATAGCTAAAAAAAAAAAAAAAAAAAAAAGTACTCACTTGAAGCTAAAAATAGTAAACTAACAAATGTCTTCACCTGTTATGTTTTGAGTGACCTTTAGAAGTCTTTCAGAAAAATTAATAGCGTAACATGTACAGTTCATCTGTATTTAATTTAAACTGTTCTAAAAATCCAGCCGATGAAGTACCCTCTCACCCAGTTAAAAAAGATCATGCTGTAAATCAAATATTAGTGCTAAATGCCTGGCTTCTAGCCTTGGCCATTAAAAGGCCATATAAGAATATCCTTTAACGAGAGTTAAGAAGAGTAATTTCCTTGCACTGGAACGCTGCAAGTCCTAATGCTGAAGTTTAATTGTAACTAACTTCAGTTCCGTAGCTGATATGGGATTGGTCTGTAGACATTTATGACAAGAGCATTATCCTACACATTGTAAACCCACTGGGCTTCCTTTTACCACACACCTCCCTTGCCTTTAAAAACAAAAAACAAGTTTAACCTGCTGCCTGATCAGTAGCTAGAAAAGAGAAATTAGCTGTTTAACACTGGGGTGAAAGGTTAAGCAGCAAGCAGGTTTCCCCAGAGAGATTAGTCTGAGTGATGAATAGTAGAGGTAGAAATGAGTGAGGTAAGAATATTGAGAATTATGATGGCTGAAAAGGTTGATGTGTAAAATAAAGCAGTAAGGAATGCAGAAGTGAAAGGATACTTCACATACTAACGCTTCTCTTCCTCCTCTGATTTACTACTGAAATGAACCTCATCAGTGGGTTTTTTTTGAGATGCTGAAAAGTTCAGAAAATGAAATATGAAATCATACCTAAGGAAGAGTGCTAAACAGAGTAATACTGTTCTGTCAACAAGCATATCTGTGAAACTTAGATTCTCATCCTGTCAGGGAGGTTCAAACTTACTATTTTGTGAACCCATTGCTTTTACAAATCTTGTCTGCTGTTGTCCTCATACATTCTGCAAAATACTTTGGTGTATTTGAAATCAGTGAAGACTGTTGGTACTAAGAGTTCTTGTTAGATCAGAAAAGCTACCATCTCCAAAACAACCATCAGCTCTACCGATTAAGTAACACTTTGCACAAATTACTCTGAGCTATACCCAAGTAAAACCATGGAGTTTTAATAGCCAAAAATATTTCAAGAGGTCAGGTCATGATTTCTTTTTGTGGCATAAAAGAATCATGCCAGTACTTTTCTATTAATAGGCCTCTGAAAGATGGTCTTGTGCACTGAACTTGTCTTTTCCCTGCCTGATGCCTCCTAGCCATGTCAGCTGACAAATGCCCTTGCTTCCATGAACCTGAGAAAGGCAGACACACTTAAGTTGACAACTTCCATTTTCATTTAAGTGCAGAGATGAGCACAGCCATTCTAATAAAAAAAAGGCCTGTAATGTACTTTGCCCAGCTCTAACCTTGGATAAAACTAAGGCACAGGATAACTGAATTGTGTTCCTTCAAGTAAAACGACACAACCAAAACCAAGTATTTCAGCTTAGAAAACCCTCATGTGAAATATGAGGTTCCTATTTATGTTAACACGGTTACTGAAACTAGCACTTGCCTCTCGGTTTTCCATCAGAGTTAAAACACTTCAGGGTAAGGTTTTGTCTTTGAAATAAGTAGGATGGAGAGTGGTATTTTTTATGAAGTGTCATAGAAAACTTGATTTTAAAGTAGAGCAGCATTATAGTCTGCAGAATAAAAGTCTTCTTCTTTTGGAGAGGCACATAAAAGCAAGTAGAGTATTTTACGGGGCACATCCGTGGAGAGAACCGGAGCACTAAAGGCTACTATGAAGTTCCGTGGAAGCGACTGGGTAAGCAGACTACAGGTTTGTATTTTCTCCATAAAACAACAGATTATATGTATCTAGTTTTCCATACAAGATTTTTACTGGTGTCATGTATATATTTTGAGGAATGGAAGCAGAGGACAGTGATTTAATGGTGAAGCACAGAAATATTAGCTAATTTGTAGTTCAGGCTCTACATTTTGTTCTAAGTTTGAGTCATGCATCATTACCCATTTTCTCTTGCCAACTGTTACTTTCTTCTCTGTGTCTAGTTCTCAAAATGGGTATTTAACCTTTTAAGATACTGCTTCAAGACACTTTTTTTTTTTTACACCCATACTTTTACACTATTAAAAAAAAATCTCAAATTAATAAAATGAAAAATTAAATGAAACATGATCCAGTAGAACAAAGTAGAAGCAACCAGATCTCTGGAGAATTTGTGGGTTTTTTAACAACATCAGGAAGTAATTACACAATATTTTCCAGAAGTGAAACAGTGAGCCTAACTGGAAAAAAATGTGGAAACATTTAGTTAGAACAGTAGAGCAAGGTATTAAACCCCCTTTTATGGATTTAACTCTGAAGGAAAATATGCAAATAATCAGGTCTTTAAATGTGTTTCTGATTATGATACTAGGATAAAAGTCAGAGGCATAATTTTGTACTTATTTTCCATGACAAGAAACACTGTTTTCTTGTTGAATGATGTTCCTAATGGTGAAAGTCACCGTGAACAAACAGTGCGACTCGATGACAAAAGCCCACTGATCTGCTTATGAGGTACACTTGCAAAAAGCTGACAGTATTTTTTGGTCACAAATTCTCTTTTTCAGTTCTCCCTACCTAACAGCCAGACTGTATATGCATGAAGACTCTTAAGTAAGATTAAAGCAGAGCAATGAGAGTGTGAGATCACAGGGCCACAAGCAAGGGGCAGATTACAGACTCTTCCTCACAGGCAGCTGGAGGCAGCCTGCAGAGTGGCCCATGGTTTCAGAGCTGGGTCGCTGGCACCGCTGAAGACACCGCACTGAATCAGTACCTCCCTCTACAGTCTGAACCACCTTGCCTTGGCAGATAATCTGATGGATGACAGATGCCAGACACAGTATCTTACACCTCCACTGCAAACAGCTGTTCAGGTAACTGTGGTAGAGCTCAGGTTAAGGAATGAATTATGCCTTAAGACCCCAGTCCAACAAACTGGTCTCTTCTACCTAAACAGTTCTATGATTCTATAGGAAAGACCTCTAAGATCATCAGGTCCAACCATTAACCTGGCACTGCCCAGTCCACCACTGAGCCATGTTCCTAAGCACCAGGTCTTTTAAATACCTCAGGATGGCAACTCAACCCCTTCCCTGGGCAGCCTGTTCCAGTGCTTGACACCCCTTTTGGTGGAGAAATTTTTCCTAATACCCAGTCTAACCCTACCCTGGCACAGGCTGAGGCCATTCCCTCTTGTCCTATTGCTTGTTCCTTGGTTCAAGAGAAACTCATCCTCCCCCTCTTTGCATCCTCTTTTCAGGCAGTTGCAGAGAGCAGTAACGTCTCCCCTCAGCCTCCTCTTCTCCAGACTAACCCCCTCCAGTTCCCTCAGCTGATCCTCACAGGACTTGTGCTCTAGAGCCTTCACCAGCCTCAGTTGGACACACTCCAGCACCTCAGTCTCTTTCTCATAATGAGGGGCCCAAAGCTGAACCTGGTATTTGAGGTGTGACCTCACCAGAGTCGAGTACAGGGGTGGGAACAAATGTACCAATACCTTTCCACACGTTCACTCTCTATGCGTTTTTTTTGCTCGTACTCTCAAACCTGACCACTAACAACATTTATGCACTGTTTCCACTTGCTTTCATGAACCCATATCCAGGGCTTCAAATGTGAATGCACCTTTAGTGTATTACCCATTCAAATTATTCAGTATCGACTTCTCTGGAGAAAAAAAAATAATAATTTTGCAGGTTATTTTGGTCATTAACTGTTAACAGCCATA